GTTATGAGAAGAAGAAAGAAGAAAAAGAAGAAGAAGAAAAAAAAAACATATGGCATATATAACGATTCCCATTCTTTATACGTACGCTCCCTTAGCAGAAAACGGCATAAGGAGACGTGGATTGCCTCACTTTCTTGCACGTAAATAGACTATGAGGATGAAAAGAAATTTTTTCCCTCTCTTAATAGGGAAAGTATGTCATTCAACGGATAAAAGAAGGAAAAAATGCTCTCCTCATATCGTCAGATTAATCCTTAAGGATGGGGGAGGAGGAAGGGCAAGTGGGGAGGGGGAAGGTGGGAGGCAAGGGAAGGGGAAAGGGGGAAGTGCAAGTGGGGGGGGGGGAAGGAAGGGCAAGTGTGGGGAGGGACAAGGCAAGGTGGGAGGGGCGAGTAGGGGAGGGGGAAGGTGGGAGAGGCAAGTGGGGGAGGGGGAGTGGGTGGGCAGTGGGGGAGGCAGGGGCGAGTAGGGGAGGGAGGGGAAAGGTGGGTAGGGGTAGGGAGGAAAAGGTGGGAGGGGCAAGTAGGGGAGGGAGGGAAAAGGTGGGAGGGGCAAGTAGGGGAAGATAGGGGAAAGGGGGGAGAAGCAACTAAGGAAGGGTTGGGTAAAGTGGGAGGAGCAACTAGGGAAGGAAAGGGTAAAGTGGGAGGGGCAAGTGGAGAGGGATAAGCATGGAGAGACAAGCAGGAAAAGGGATGGGAAAGGTACGAAGGGCAAGTGGGCAAGGGAGGGGCAAATGGGGAAAGGAGGGGAGCTAACTTGCCCATCAAAGGGGATTCCGTGACGAGGCAAAGAGTCTTGAGGTTGCTTCAAGTAAGTCGGTGGCAAAGAAATTATGGTAATGATGAAGGGGAGATGGATGGAGAGAGAGAGGCAGACAGATAAACAGATAGACAGGCAGACAAGACAACCAGGAATACAGAAAGACAGACAGGTAAACAGATAGACAGATAAGACAAACAGGCATACAGATAGACAGACAGACAGGTAAACAGACAGACAGACAGACAGGTATATAGACAGATAGATAAGACAGACAGGCATACAGAAAGAAAGACAGAAACAGATAGGTAGACAGATAGAGAGAAAGGCAGATAGACAGTTAGACGAAAATAACTTTTTGGGAGAAAGTGTAAAACAAACGAAAAAACACTGATTTTGCATTATGTGAATTTTTTTTTTTTTTTTATAATCTTTTCTCTCCTATCCTAGTGCTTATTTTCAAAACGATTTTTAAAATCTTTTATCCCCTGACATTTTTTTTTATTAGCATCATCCCCTCTCTTTCTCTGATATCCTTTCTCTCATTCAACAAAAATGAACAGAACATAATAAAATAAATTGCGACATAATGAAAAATAAGGAAAGAAAATGATAAATAAACAAAAAATAAGTAAAAACAAAGAAAAAGAAAAATGAATAGATAAAGATATATAAGAAATAAAACCCTACCCATCGACAAGAGGAGACTCCTGCAGGAGAGCGCGCGCGGCCTTCAGCCTCTCCTGGTGGGAGGCCGTAGGAGACACGCGCACTGGCAGAGGGCTCGCCGAAGTGCCCAGGACCAGTGCCACCATCAGGGCCGGCACTCCCGTCAGCACCATGGCATTCTCAAGTTTTAGACCTGTGGAGGGAGGGAATTTGAAGGGTCAGTTTCTGCATTCTTGAATATCGGGTGTGCTGGGTGCATATATATATATATATATATATATATATATATATATATATATATATATATATATATACTATATATATGGATGCATTCTTGAATATCGGGTGTGCTGGGTGCATTTATATATATATTTCTTTGGCTGTATCATTTATGTGTAGATAAAATAATGAAGGGAAGAGTAGTGTAACACGTGAGTAACTTGAATATGCTGAAGGCCTTTTCGCTACACTGTTTTTTTTTTTTTTTTTTTTTTTTTTTTTTTTTTTTTTTTTTTAGGGAGTAATAAATATGAGATACGGAGAGGTGTCTATATATACAGTGAAAATCCCTGGCATATTCATGTGTTTTCTATTCTTCCCTTCGTTGTTTTATATACAATTTGCATAAATTATCTTATAATTACTACTCTTTAGATGACTATTTAGAAATTTTCAAGAGCTGAACAAAGCAAAAGACCTTATGTAATGTCCGTGATTCCTGCATTTTCCATTAGTCTTTATGATAATATAACTTTGACCTTTAGCACGACTAATGCAAAAAGGTCACCTTTGCTATCACCATCACTGAATACCGCCGTCAGTTCCAGTAAGCTAATCCTTATGATCCTTATAGCCAATCCTACAGCTATTCAAAAGGATTATGAACACCAGTTTAATTGTTCTCATTATGTTCAACTATGTTTTAGTCCCGTCAGTGTTTTTCCCAATGAATTGTTGTTCTGGTCTACTAGTCCAGCCTGTATCTAAGCCCAGTTCTAAGAGTCACAACAACACACCGTCTTATTTATAGTATGTATAACTTCTACATACTTTGTAATATAGTTGTCAT